CCGTGTTCTAGAAAGATAGGTCAGACTGTGAGTAAAGAAAAGAAAAGGAAAAAGTAACAAGAGGGCGGACTGCCACTTTTCTAGAATAGCTCTGGTCTGGTGCAATCAGTACGCTCTTCATGCATGCTTGACCATCAACGAAGTCAAGTTTCCCTCAAGTTTCTGTCAAATTGAGTCACTGAAGTTTGAATCATTGTGCATGGGGCAAACAGAATCCTCTACACCTTAATCAGCACCCTCGGGCCAAATTAAGGCATGGGCGAAACAGTATCGGTCCTGCTCTGTTCCTGATGGCTTAAATCAACTTGAATTCAGGTATGCTTGTTTCAGAACTCAATTTCTTGGTGATATGTGTTTCATATGTATTTCAGTTTCAACCATCAGCAGAAGAAAGACACATGAGCAAAAGCGATATTCACATGGGCAATATTCAGAGACAAGACGAGGCAATCTCAGGCGCTGAAGAAATAGTTTCAGTTTCTGGGTGATATGTGTTTCATCTCGGGTAAAGTCGCCTTCATGTTCCCATCAGTTTGTGTAACAGCAAATGGTGTTGGGCTGAAGAAAGCAGAAGATTATTATCGAAAATAACAAATTCGACAGAATTCCTCGCCACAGGCTGTTACAGCCCTAGACTACAGCACAACCAGAGACCAGAGGCAGGGGCACATACCACTCAGCTTATAGTCTCAGAGTACAGTATCAGGTCACAACTCAAAGAAGGAAGAAATGAGGAGGAAGGAGGAAATCGCAGCTGTCACAGAACGCGTCTCTCGCTCCGGTTGTGTTTTGTCTCGAACTGGTTCAGTTTCCTCAGTCTCCTTCAGCCTTTGATGCTGCAACTCATTCATTTCTGCCTCAGCATGCTTCACGCGCTGATGAATGAACTCGCTGCTTTCTCCCAGCGTCGCTGCATACGGGTTGCATGTAACACAGGCAATTACCCGTCCAGGTTTCCGACGGCCAGCCACACCGCCCGCTCCCGTCCAGTTACGGGGTGTATTAACTCAAGCCAAACAGTTTCTTTCAGAAAAACAAAGCTAATACTATCAATTTTTTAGCATCACCATCACTGTTTCCTTCTTGTTCAGGTCTAAGCTGGATGGACAGCCGACTGTACTGTAGCTCCCGGTTCTGCTCTCTGAAGAAACATATTCACTGACCCGAGTTCAGTTCTGGCAAGTACTGGTTCAACTTCAGTTCTGTTAAGTTCTAAAAGGACCGGATCACAGGGCTTACTACTCTTTCTCTAGCAACACAATGATGCCAAACTAACTTGACCAGCACTAGGAGGTCCTACCTTAACTGACCGTCACTAGGCACATTTTCTCTTCCAACCAAAAAGTTAGTCAACACTTGATTATTAAGAGGCGCATTTGTCTCCATTTGTCTGCCGTGTCATAGGATCCTGTCGGTAATGCTTAGCTGCCAAATGCTTTTCTGTGTTGCTGCCTGGATAAAACATAGTGGCAAATCTAAAACATTGCCAAAAGATATATTTAGGTTGGAGTGTTGAGTTGAATCACAATTTTTTTGTGAGAAAAACATATGTTTTTTTTGCAGGGTGTATGAAAAGTGTATGTTTATTTTTGTGCTATACCAAAAAAATGATGTACTATATTCGTTGCTGTATTAGCCTCTCACTTTCTCGCAAAAAAAGTATTAACCTCCCACTATTATTTGTTACAGCAAACAAATAAATATTTTCTAATAAAAGCATCACGATCACTGTTTCCTTGTTGTTTGGTTAGTTGCTATATTAACCTTTCACTGTTATTCGCCTCAACTGACCGTCACTAGTCAAAACTTCTCCTCAAACAAAAAAGGTAGTCAAAACTTGATTAAGTGGCGCATTTGTTTCCACTTAATTTGTTGCCGTGTGTCTTAGGGTCCTTCCTGCCAAATTATTATTCTCTGTTGCTCCCTAAAAAAAGCTTCCTAAATTTTTTGGATCTTGATTCTGGAATATTGTGTAGACTATCATTTTATTTGTGCAGAAATATGATTTTATATGTGTGTCTTATACCAAAAAAATATGGTCATCTTTTATTAACCTCTCACCATTATATGTGCAAACAAATACACAAATTTTTAATAAAAGTTTTTAGTGTTTCCAAAGTTTAGAAATTATGTTTAGAAATTTCCAAAGTTTCCAGTCGCATCAAGTTGGGAATTTCCTTTCCGTACTTTTTACAGCAATGCCAAACTTGACCGGCAGAGTAAAATCGCCCGTCAAAACCTGTTGAAGAGATAGAAACTTCTCCACTACCATATTTACCACGATGGTTACTACATCCTATATATATAACATATATTCATATCTTAATCTCCAGACATCAGAAAGAGTCATCAAAACAAATTCCAACCCACCATGCTTCATTTTTTCATTGTCTTCATGCTTGCCGTATCTGTTCCTCCGGTGGTGTGCTCTTCTGCAGCAAATGGCAGCAGCAACCTGAAAGAAGGCCAAGAGCTCAGCGGCGGCAACAGGCTCATCTCAAAGAATGGCAAGTTCGCGTTGGGCTTCTTCACATCAGGCAGCAGTAAGTCTTCCTCAGACAACACAACCTTGCCCAACTGGTATGTAGGTATATGGTTCAACAAGATCCCAAAGTTCACTCCTGTATGGATTGCGAACAGAGAGAAACCAATCACTGACCCCAAGTTTAGACTGTCCAAGCTCAGAATCTCAAGGGATGGCAACCTTGTCATCTTAAACCATGCGACTAAATCCATAATCTGGTCCAGTCAAATAATAGCAGCCAAAGGTAGAAGAACAGCCAACAAAAATACTACCATCATGGCAGCACTCTCAGACGATGGTAACCTTGTCATAAGAAACGCCTTGAACCCATCCATTGTGTGGTGGCAGAGCTTTGATCACCCAACAGATGTTTTCCTCCCCGGCGCAAGGATTGGCCGGAACAAGGTTACCGGCCAAAAATACAGTCTTGTTTCGAAGAAGAATCTGATAGATCCAGCTCCAGGCCTATACTGCACGGAGCTAGACCCCACTGGTGATCCGCAATACTTTGTTAGGATTTGTAATTCATCCATGGTGTATTTCTCCACGGGCGAATGGGTCGGGTGGTACTTCAATTTGGTGCCGGAGATGTCTGGTAGTAACTTTCTCCAAACCAAATTCATCGACAATGATGAAGAGGAGTACTTCACTTACGCTCCAATGGATCCAACAGTGATCACAATCGGTTTACTTGATGTCTCTGGTCTTACCAAGCAGCTTCTTTGGCTTGAAGGCTTGCAAGAGTGGGAAACTATATATGTCCAACCCAGGGCTCCATGCGATGTTTTCGCCGTTTGCGGGCCTTTCACAGTTTGCAACGACAACACACTTCCATTGTGTAACTGCATGAATGGGTTCTCCGTGAAGTCACCAGATGACTGGGAGCTGGATGACAGAAGAGGTGGATGCATGAGAAATACTCCGCTAGAACATTGCAGCAGCAACAAAGGTAACACAAGAGGGTTAACAGACCAGTTCTTTCCGATACATAGTGTTAGATTACCTTATTATGCACATAGAATGGAAACAATTGAGAGTGGACAAAGCTGCATGCAAGTTTGTCTAAGAAACTGCTCATGCACTGCGTACTCCTACGGCAAGAGTGGCTGTTCTATCTGGCAAGGCCAGCTTATTAATGTAAAGCAGTACAATAATGGCACTGTCAATAGTGACGGAGAGATTCTTTTGCTCCGTATTGCTGCTGGAGAGGTGCAAAGTTGGGGAAACAACACAAAAGGAAATAGAAGAATGATCACCGGTCTCATTGTTGGTCCTTTCTGTTTGTTGGTGATGCTATTGATGATTTGGAGGGGGAAAAGAAAGTGGTGTTCTCTTCCACTGAGCAGCACTGAAGGTGGATGTGGCGTTATAGCATTTAAGTATGTTGATTTGCAGCATGCAACTAAAAATTTCTCAGAGAAGCTAGGTGTAGGTGGTTTTGGCTCTGTATTTAAGGGAATTCTGCGTGACTCGACTACCATAGCGGTGAAGATGCTTGATGGTGCACGCCAAGGAGAGAAACAATTCCGGGCTGAGGTCAGCACAATTGGAATGATCCAACATGTCAACTTAGTCAAACTGATTGGTTTTTGCTGTGAAGGTGATAGAAGGATGCTTGTTTATGAACACATGGCAAATCGTTCTCTTGATGTCCATATATTCCGAGGCAATGGTTTTATGCTAGATTGGAGTACAAGGTTCCGAATTGCCATCGGTGTTGCTAAAGGATTGTCCTACTTGCATGAGAGTTGTCGTGATTGCATAATACATTGTGATATTAAGCCAGAAAACATACTTCTCGATGCGTCACTTGTTCCTAAAATTGCAGATTTTGGGATGGCAAAACTTATGGGAAGGAACTTTAGTCGCGTTCTGACAACAATGAGAGGAACCGTAGGATACCTTGCACCTGAATGGATTAGTGGAGTGGCTATTACACAAAAAGTTGATGTTTACAGCTATGGAATGGTACTGCTAGAAATGATATCCGGAAGAAGGAACTCATCACCTCAAGAATGTACAAGCAATAGTGATCATGATGTTTACTTTCCTGTGCAAGCTGCACTTAAGCTTCTTGAGGGAGATGTGAGGACTTTGGTCGATCAACAATTACATGGTGACATCAATGTGGAGGAGGTTGAAAGAGCTTGCAAAGCAGCATGTTGGTGCATTCAAGATCATGACTTTGATCGTCCGACAATGGGCGATGTGGTTCAGGTTCTCGAGGGTCTAGTAGAGCTTGATATGCCCCGAGTGCCAAGATTACTTCAAGCTATATCAGGAAGCCCTTCTACAAATTAAATATCATCCATGTAAGGGAAAGTTCAAATTTCAGCAGGTTTGTAATAACTGAGCTGAGAAGTTACCCTTCATACACACTTTTCCATAGTGATTGATACTACTAAAAACATGTCTTGAATTTTAGTCTCTATTATCGTAGAAACTAGCAGGGCAGTTAATGTATCTGTGGTTCTAGATTTTGTCATGTATTGCCATTTGTATCAACATGTCAAATGTTTGTATCTCCCATAAATATCAGTTGACTTATTGGTATACATAATTTTGTAGCCAAAATACATTTCCATGACGGGTATTCTTCATTGCACCTTAATTTCTTTAAATAGTTGATATTTTTATCTTTGCCCAACGCATGGTTCATTTTTTTGCCCCTGTTTATCTTTCACAAATGACGATTTCAGAATCTCCAATCACGCCACTCGATCCAAGTATCCAGAAACTGGTGTTTAGCGGCCACCAAGGACCATCACATCGGTTTTGGAATGCAATGGTGCATCAATGTTGTACTTCCCTTTGGAAACATTGTAAAGCTGAATGCAATGGTGCATCAATGTTGTACTGAATGCATCGGTTTTGGAAAGCTGAATGTTGCAACTCCATCCCCTCCCCCTCGGTTGACAAAGAGAAAAGATGGCTCGCTCTCCTCCTCCCCCTCCCCGCCCCCTCCCCTCCCCCTCGGTTGAAGCGACGAGACCGCCATTAAAGCCAACTCCACCTCCCACCCACCCCCGCATCTCACCGACTCCTCCCCGCCCCAGATCCCCATATGAGTATCCGCATGGCTGGAGCGCGTCGACGCGGCGTACGGGTTCGTCGGCTTATGCCGGCGGCGCGGGTAGCGGAGCCACAGGCACTTCCATCCCCCGTAGTGGCTCAGCTGCCCGAGATCGACCCGAACTCGCCGGAGGCCCGCCGCGAGATGCGTCGGGTGGTACGGGAGCGCTTCCCCGAACGCGACGAGTGGGGGGAGATTTACATGCACATCCTCCGCCATGCGAACTTCATCGAGCGCGCGCGCTTCATCGGCGACGACGGCTGCGAGGATGTGGAGCTGCTGTTTTGGGCGATCCAGGAGGCGGAGTCACCAGATCCGCGGCAGGCCGCCCGCTGGGAGAACTTCAGGACGGCGAATCCTTCGAGGCTCAACATCAGGCCACCATCGTGGGAGGGAAACGCCAACATCCCGCCGGAGTTCATCCTGCCAGGGACTGTTTGGCCCCCACGCCGCCAGTAGATCGGCTGCCCCGACTGGTTCAGACGCAGCGACGACCCATCGATCCCCCGCCTTGGCCTGGTGAGTTAGGTTTGCACCTTCGTGCTAATTCGATTATTAAGGCTCGTTTGCGGGATTTTCGTTTGCGCCGTCGTGGGATTCAAGCTTGTCATGCTCAGATTTCTCAATCGCATCTTCAGGATTTTGGGTTAGAATCGAGGGTTCTCCCTCCTGTTGTTAGTAATAGTAAGGATTCCTTTGCTGCTTCTGCAGCTGGTGAGACCTCGTCTGAGTTGGTCTCCGGCGAGGGTCTTGGCCTTAGTTTAAAATCCATCCGAAAAGTTGAGGAGGAGCCGCTCTGTCGTGCCGCTCCTCTAAATCCAGGTGTCCCTGGCCCCACACTCAATTTACGTGTTGTGGGCGAGAAAGCGGGAAGGGCGAGGGGAATACGTAAAACTGTTTCCCTAGATAATGTGGAGGAACACTTTGGCCAGCTCTGGCTCATTCCCCCCCCCCCTCGCCGCCGCCACCCTAGAAACCCTACCCTTCAACCACAAGTTCCACCGAAAACCGGATTCCTTTGCTGGATCCGGAGAGATTTGGTTGAGAAAAACTCCTTCTCGGCTGCGGATTGCTTCCCTGCGTCCCGTCGACCATTTGATCCACCTCCAAACAAATCAAAGTGGTTCGCGAAGGGATTGGCCCTAGTTCAATTTCTTTTGCGAAAGCTGTCAAGCGAGGGGTGAAGATGGCCGAACGCCGTGCAGTAGGGGGCGGCAATCTTGCTGCTGGTCAGCCAAAAGGAGCAGGGCAGAAACCCACTTCTTTTACTGGGCAGAAAACAACTGCGCCTATCGCAAAGGAATCTGTCCCTGCCCCCAAACCTACCAGATCTACAACCTCCACTGCTGGTTCCGCTCAGGTACAATCATCCCAATCCATCGAGGTCGAAGTGGAACAAGTCCTTGATCCTAGGTATAAGGACATGATATGTTTTAATTGTGGTGGACCTGGGCATTACGTGGGGAATTGCGTGAAGCCAAAAGCCTGCTTTATTTGTCAACAGAATCACAATGTCAATAACTGTGCAGCGTGGTCTAAGATTCAACCTACTGCTGCCTTTTTTGGTAGTGGAGCTCAAGGCCTTGGTTTCTACGATGTAGATGTTCCTGTTGCAAATGAGTCAAAATGGCTAAACTTCCAGAACTGTGCGGTGGTTAACATTCTGAAAGGAGAAGTGGACTGTGCTAAGCTGATGGAACTGTTATCTGCTACCTTTTGCAAAACTAAACACTGGCCTTGGAAAATCAGAGGGCTCTCCAGTAAGACGTTTTTAGTTAGATTTCCCCCTTGGAAGAAAGTGGAGGACCTCATCGAATTACCTGGGTTCTCCCTGCCGAAATATGTGAATGTGACACTGACTGAATGGAAAGGGGGGTGTGAGCCTTTTGGAGAGTTGATTGAAGCATGGGTGCTGATTGAGGGGATTCCCCCCAAGTGGTGTACTTAGGAGGTTTTTGCCCAAATTGCTTCACTGTTTGGAGTGCTTACAGATGTGGACTGGAATGGTATGTTTAGAACTTTCTTTGAGAATGTCAGAATCAAAATAGCCTGCAGAGACACTACTAGGGAAAACCTTATACACAGAATCTTAGCAGCAGCGCGACAAAAAAAGAGGCGCTGCTGCTAATTAGTAGCAGTGCGGTTACAGAAAGCGCGCTACTAGTGCAAATTTAGCAGTAGCACGTGATGTTTAAACCGCGCTGCTACAAAAATCCACCGACAGTACACAACGACCTAAGTTTACCAGTAGCGCGGTGTTAGGAAGCGCGCTACTGCTAATGCCATAGTAGTAGCTCTCTTTTTAGTCACGTCGTTGCTGCTAATTTTAAAATTGTCCACACGGTTGGCCCGTTTAGTAGTAGCGCGTGATAGGAAAGCGCGCTACTGCTACGCTCTTAGCAGCAGCGCACTTTTGCTCCGGCGCTACTGCTAAGACGCAACACCCACCACCTTTTTCCACCTCCCCCTCCCCATCTCCTCTCCTCCCTTTCCCGTACCTCCCACATCCTTCCTCTCTCACTCTTCTTCTTCCTCAATACTTCTCCCCCATTACTCTCCCTCTTCTACCTACCTTTCTCTTTCTTCATTACTTCTACCTATAACTAGACCACCTCCATTAATGCATCTCCTTTCTCTTTTTCCTTCCCCCTCCACTAGTTGAAGTTGTCTCCTCCCAAATTAGGTAGCTAGGTAGATGTAGCATTTAGCTAAGTGACCTATTTGCCCCTAACTAGATCTATCTTTGTCAAGAAGAGCTTTGTGCACTTTTGATCTCCCTACAACATCATCTCCACCGTGTGCTCGATCTCGAGATAGAGGTGATTAAAATTTCATGCTTTTGCAAAATGGAAATATGTTTATGTGTGTGTGATATGTTTATGGAAATTTTGTGTGTGGCATGAGTTGACGCAAAATTGTGCTTTTGAGTTGCCTATGTTTTGCCGAAATGTCGATTTATTTCCGTTTCAGTGAATTTCGGGCAAACTCTAGATCTATATATGTCCTATTTTTAAGGAAGGCCATGCCGAATTTTTGTTGGACTTTGATGAATGCACGCATTTTTATAATCAATTTGTTTATTATTACCGTGCAGAGTTGTCAATGGTCAGTGGAACGATGGTGGACAGGTGGTTGCGGTCGGCGCTGCAGGACATGAAGGAAAATAACCTGACAAAGGTTTTATGTCCGTGTCAAAAATGCAAAGGAATAGTTTGGCTCGACCCCCATGACGATGGTCGTGTCGAAGCGCACCTACTCATGACTGGTTTCATGGATGGCTATACTCGGTGGATAATTGAAGATGAGAATGATGATGTTGAGGATGCCGACAGGGCAGACAATGATGACATGGGGCAAGACGAAGAGATGATCGATAATGGCGGCGGGGAAGAGGCCGGACATGGTGGCGGAGAAGGGGCCAGACATGGCGGCGGAGAGAACGACATGGACTCCACGCAGCAGAGTTCGTCGGTACTAAGTTCAATCGTGCGGGACCCTCATGGTCAAGCTTTGCTTCGCAAGGAGACGAGTACTGAGAGAGCTGCTTCTAGAGAGGAGGCTAAGCTAGAGCAACTGGTGGTAGACTCGAACACTCCATTGTATGATGGTTGCAATCCTGAGGTGACCCGCTTGAGTTTCACGCTCCAACTCCTGAAGACGAAGGCTAAAAACAAATGGACCGACACTAGCCTCGATGAGCATCTCAAGTACCTAAAGGATGTTCTTCCCGCGGGTAATCTATGTCCTAGTAGTGTTGATGAGGCCAAGAAGATCGTGTGCCATCTTGATCTGCCACACATTAGATACCATGCATGCATCAACGATTGCATAATTTATCGGAAGGAGCACGCGGAAAAAACAAGCTGTCCGGTGTGCAATGCTTCTCGATACAAGAAGGCTGGGAAGAAATGTCCCCAAAAAGTGGTATGGTACTTACCGATCACTCCCCGTCTCCAGAGGTACTTTGTAGATACCAAGGAAGCAAAGCTAATGCGCTGGCACGCGGATGCACGCGGTGCATGGATGATATGATGTCTCAGCTAACATCAAGGAAAGATGGTGGGTCTAGGAAAATCGTGTACATGGGGCATCGAAGATGGCTCGAACAGGACGACCCGTGGAGAAACCGTGGAGATCTATTCAATGGTCACGCTCAGCATCGAGGACCTCCACGTAAGAGGAGCGGTGCCGAAATCGATGAGCTATTGAAAAATTGGAAGGAGTGCCC